CTCCTCTCTCTCTCTCTCTGTCCCCTCCACTCCAAGTCAATAAAAAACTTTTGGAATGCTTCAAAGCCTGGAACAGAAAGTTGAGAGTGTTGCCCTGCCAGCCAGTTTTAGCCAGTGAATGCAAATGGAGCGGAGAGATGGGGCTCAGATCAGGGGCTGCTGAGACCAGAGCCTCTTACTGCTCTGTTCAACTCAATGAGAGAACTCACACATAATTCAACACCCCCTCGCTGCCATACACACAAAAACACACACAGAAAGAATGCACGCAACCTAGAATGAGTTTTCCCATGTACACATAATCAGGCACCAACAAATGTTTCTTTTCTTCATGCATGGGATTACATTCCAAACCAAAGTTTGGAATAATTAAGAATTTTTTGTGTGTGTTTTTGAAAGAAGTCTCATGCTCAGCAAGGCTGCATTTATTTTCAGAAATATTTTCAGTAATATTGTGAAATATTATTACAATCTAAAATAACTGTTTTCATTTTTAATATATTATACAATTACGTTTATTTCTGTGTTGGCAAAGCTGAATTTTCAGCAGCTTTTATCTTCAGTGTAACATTATTCTACAGAAATCATTCTAATACGCTGATTTGGTACTCAAAAAAATTTCTTAATATTATTACCAATGCTGAAAACAGTTGTGCTGCTTAATGTTTTTGTAAAAACTGTAATGCATTTTTTTTCAGGATTATTTGATGAAATAGACATTTCAAAAGAACAGCATTTATTTGAAACAGAAAACATTTTTGATCAATTCAAAACTTTTATTCAAAATGCTGAATAAATGTATTAATTTATTTTTTAAATCATACTTACCCAAAACATTTGAATGGTAGTGTATCACAGTTTCCACAAAAAATATTAAGCAGTAAAACTGTTTTTAAGCATTGATAATAATAATAAATGTTACCAAATCAGCATATTAGAATGATTTCTGAAAAATCATGTTGCACTGAAGACTGAAATAATGACTGCTGAAAATGCAGCTTTGACATCACAAGAATAAATTACATTTTAAAATAACAGAAAACCGTTATTTTAAATTGTAATAATATCTCACATTATTACTGTATTTAGTGTACTTGTTATCAAATAAATGAAGCTTTGATAAGGATAAGAGACTTATTTAAAAAACATTTAAAAAATCTTAACTATCAAAAAAGTTTAAACTGGTAGTGTATGTCAACAAACAAGATACACCGTTCTGGTTGCATAACAAGTTCAAAGCTGTGCAGTCCTGCACTTCGCTCTTGACTCCTCCCACCTGGGCCTCCGTTTTACTGGAGTGAAAAAAACAAACCAGAGATTTGGGACGTCCCACAGGGCTTCTGAAGTTTGTAACCAGTGGACTCATAAACAGGGTCTTTAATCCTAGCACATTTCAGAAGGTTCAAGCATTTTGTGCCGTGTGAGGCACTTTTTATTATGGATGCATGCGCTTTATTTCACTTCTTTTGGACCGATGAACTGCAACACCCACTGACTGCCATTAAACAGCTTGGAAGATCAAAGACCATTTTGAAAGGGTTAGTTTACCCAAAAATGAAAATTAGGCTGTGTTTTACTCACCCCCGAGGCATCCTAGGTGTATATGAAATGGATGGGCGCTTTTTATTTCACTTCTTTTGGACTGAAGCACTGCAACACCCGCTGACTGCAATGATAGAGCTTGGAATAGCCAGGACAATTTTTAATATAACTCCGACTGGATTCGTCTGAAAGAAGAAAGTCATATACACCTAGGATGCCTCGGGGTGAGTAAAACACAGCCTAATTTTCATTTTTGGGTGAACTAACCCTTTAATATAACTCTGATTGGATTCATCTGAAAGAAGGAAGTCATATATGCCTAGGATGGCTTGAGGGTGAGTAAATAATGAGCTAATTTTCATTTTTGGGTGAACTATCCCTTTAAGAACCGTATCGAACACGAATCGAATTCATTGTCGGGCAAGTTCGATTCACTGCTTCACGAATCTTCGAAACCTTATACGAATCTTGTGTTTTGAATCAGTGCTTCGGAGCGCGTGTAAGTCACACCATCATTTCAGCATATTTTAAAACAAGTTTCTAAAATTCTGACTGTAAACGTTCTGTTGCAAATTTGTTGGTAGATAACAAGTGTTACAAATGAATAAAGATTACATATTATCTGGTATTTAATGGCATTTTAAACATAATATTTTGCAAATTACCTACATTTGAAACTCTTGTGCAGCTATTTGTAGAACATGTCACTGAACGTTATTGCTGTTTTTGATGCATTTAAATTAAAATTAAATTAAAGCATTTAGCAGACATTTTTATCCAAAGCGACTTCCAGTGCATTCAGGATATAAATTTTTTATTAGTATGTGTGTTCCCTGGGAATTGAACCCACGACCTTTGCGCTGCTAACGCAATGCTCTACCACTGAACCAGTTAAAGAGTTTTAACCAGTCTTCAGCTTGCAGTTTTCAATCGTATATAGATATAGTAGACCCCTCTCTGACCCCTAGATATAGTAGCCTGCAAACTTTGAGTCCAGATGCTTCACCAATGGGCAACTACTTCCCACATAAAAGGACAATGCTTCTCTTTTTTCTTTCCTTTCTTTTCACTTTTCTGACTCATATAACCCTGGCTTTTTCATTGCAACCCTTCATGCTTCCCTCCTCCCCTGCCCCTCTCCCTCTTTCACATCTGTTGTGCCTGTAAACATTGTCTGGTTTGCTGAGATTAAAGTCTTCTTTAACACAGTACAAACAACTTGAGGGCTAAGTTGCACTCCAAAGTTACAAAAAAGATTTCTCAGAAAGCAAAATAAATTTCAGAGCTGCTGAATCAGCTAACAAACAGCATTAAAATTCAGCAAGCAGCATTACAATTATTAAGCTCAATGGTTCTCAGCTGGTAGCCTACGTGTCTGTGGGTCACAGGTCTACTCTGACTGTGGACAGCAGAGGGGAAAATATAAAGTAATAAAATGCAACCAGCCATATAGTCATAGGTAAAATAACAAAATAAATAGCTGTATTACATTTGAAAACGTATAGAACAAAATGTTTAATATGTTGGATATTTTGTATCTTAATTTAATTTAGAATTTCGAGGTCATACTAAAATGGAGTCAGATTAGATAATAAAATGGAGTCAGATTTGAGTTAAACCTAAATTGAATAACTCTGCGCGCTGAAAAGACTGAACACGCAAGTGACCTTCATCCACCACTGGATACCTTCCTTGGGCCAAGTGCGTGGACCTTACATAACAAAATAAATACATTTATTAAATTTCAAAAGGTACATGAGGAAATGCTTTAGATTCATTTTAATAAATTATCATTTATTAATAAAATAAACAGGCTTAATAAATTTCAAAAGTTGTAGGAGAAAATGCTTTATATTTTTGACATTTTATCTTTATTAATTTAATGCATTAAATGATCACATCTTTATTAATTTACCAAATTATAATAACAAAATAAACAGGCTTATTACATTTCAAACAGTAATAGAACATTTCTGACATTGTATCTCATGTCTTTATTTAAGAAATCAAATTATCATTTTTTTTTTTTACTAATTTAAGAAATTACAGTAACAGTAAATAGGGTCATTAACTTTAAAAATGTAGGAGAAAATGATTTACTACTTGACATTTTATATTTTAATGATCATATCTATAAAAAATATAAAATAAATTGGCTTATTTAATTTTAATGGTTACATTTTATTGATTGCTTAGCGCATCAAACCGTTGCAATTCAATATTCATTTAGAATACAAAACTGTCTATTTTTCTATTCAGCCTATTATGTGCAATAAACAGTTGTGGTTTGGGTCGTCACTTGATGTCTGTAAATGTACTGTAAAATCTGAGTTGGGAAAACTTGGGTTCTGCAATACAAGCAAACAAAAATGATGAACCTCTAGCTTATTAAAAAACCCAGACTATGAAAAATGACGAGAAGCATGAGTATTTTGTAGTAATCTTTATAAAGAACACTGATTTAGTCATCAAGTGACACAAATGTCATTAGAGACACAGCACATCAGAACATATTGCAGCCACATTCTGAATCAGTCGTTTCAGTCAGGGGATTCACAGCTACAATTCTGCAACTCCATGCTGATAATAGTTCATTTTCCCAGACAAAACAGACCCCCGCACACACACACAGAAGAGTGTAAAGTCAATGCAAGACATGACGACAGCAACAAAACCCAAGCATGAAAATACTTATATGCTCATCTACATTTACAACAGTTACCAAGACTTCAAGAACACTTCTATAATACATTATTGTGAGTTCTCGATGGAAGCCTTAAGATGATGACATCTTATATACATCTACTTACAGCTGGAGATCAAACTACTCCACATGAGAGATTTCCATCAGTATTTACACTGGCAGCCACATTCTCTGCCCACATTTTAAACATATGGTTACTGATAACAAGAGCAATATCTGTACAACTGTGAAGAAGCATCATCTCAATGCTCGAAAATACAAATCTAGGAAGCATATTTAGTAACATCTATAATCAGTGCTGACAATGATTGAGTTGTTTTCTATTCCAGAGGACTACCTCCTTGTACCCCTAAGCCATGATGTACCAAAAAAGCATGAGCTGCTTGCTGTAGCTATCTCAACAGTGCCACGTTTTTGGGTCACATCACATTTGCTGCTCATACTGCTTCAAAATGAGTTACTGGAATTGCAATATTCCAAGGTTAGTAGAGGTACTGCATCTAAGAAAACCATTATCTGTCACAGGTGTTATTCAATTTGGAGACGAAATGTAAAATGGCATTGTTTCCTTTATGGCTGTTACCTAAAGCACAGATCAAGTCTGTTGAGAAGAGATCACCACAGTTCTAGATGGAGAACTACGAGTGCATTGCTACTGCCACTGAATGAACACATTTACACCGCACTGCTAGAGTCCTGGAGGAAGTGCACGTGTTGGGATCTCAGCATGCTTTGATAAAGTCTGGAGGCAGTTTTAGACGATGGATCCCTTCGAGGAGGACAGATGAATGGAGCGAATGCGCGTGGCCAGCGTCTTCTCCAGATCATGCAACACGTCGGGGCAGCAGTTCTCCATTGGGGTGTTATAGAGCAATTGTTTAAATGGCTCAAGCTCTATGAGAACTGCCATGTTCTTCAGAAAGTAGCCCTCGATGTAGGTCGACAGCTCAGGTGCCTCTAGGAACTAAGAGAGAAGGAGAGGAAAGAACATACTGAGAATGTAAAGAATGTTTCGTATGCATGGAAAAATAAATCTGAGAACATGTTCGATTGTATAAAAAACCATTAAGCGGCTCAACTGTTTTCAACATTGATAATAATAAGAAATATTTATCAAACATCAAATCAGCATGTTAGAACGATTTCTGAAGGACTGAGTGAGTAATGTCTGAGGAAAATTCAGCTTTACCAACACAAGAATAAATTGCATTTTAGAATATATTAAAATAGAAAACAGTTATTTTAAATTGTAATAATATTTCACAATATTACAGTTTTTTCTGTATTTCTTTTGAAATAAATGCAGCCTTGGTGAGCATAAAAGTTTTGAATGAAACAAATCTTTGAACAAATGTTTAAACAGCAGTTTTTTTTTTTGTAAGAAACTACTAAATGTATAAAACAAATAAAATACTTTAAATAGTAAAATAGAAATTATTACATAGTGAGGCTAATGGACTTTATTAATTTGTGGAAGAAATAATAATAACTTCAATTATTAATTGAACACTTGTCTTATATTGCTCCTGCAATAAGAATCAGTTTGACTGCTTTACACTGTAAAATCCCTTTAAAAACAAATATGCTAGATTGCATAACATAAGGACTGAAACAGAGTTATTAGTACTTACATCCATAACCTCAGTGTTTCTGATTTGAAGTGAATCCGTTCCACCACAGTACAGATACTGCATCACCAGCTATATGGAAAGCAAAATATAATGTTTCATGCATCAGTCAGACACTCAATAGACCACAATATAAAAATGATGAGCTCTCCTTTCCCTCTCAATAAAAGCAGCATAAAAATAGCAAGACACACTCGCATCTTCTCAGAGCATTAGCGAAGCAGTCGGACTGTACCTGAAATACATTGTATTTGACATGGCTGATTTCGATACAGGTGTTCTCAGCAGCTGGTCTGTTTGCCAGAAGTAATTTAAACCTTGGGTACAAGAAGGAAAATTTAAAACAATAATAATACTCCTATATGAGTAACAATAAAAGAACATAAGCTGTTCTTGGGCCTCATATATGTGTTATTAAAAAGGTATTGTAATCAAAAGAACAAAAGCACACAAGGCACACTGTCACTGTATGTACTGTAATTATACAGGGTTTCTTTTTTCAGGTGGATGCAGTGCACCAACTGACCTGTTGGAGGCGGTGAAGAGCAAAACTTTGTGAGCGTAGAATGGCTTTCCTTCCACCAGGAAGGTCACATCTGCCATCTCCTTGTTGTTTAGAAAATGAGGATCTGACATAAACATATCACAGATGCATTTCATTAGTTGCAACTGTGGAATCCATGGAAATCAGCAGCATACCACAGTCACTGCCAACAGAACTCCAAAGGTTTATCCTAAAATGAAAATTCTGTCATATTTACTTTACTTTCATATTGTTCCAAACCCGTATGAAGTCAAAACAAATCATACTGATCATATTGAGAAACAGACTGAAATGTTTGTCTTTGTTCAATGAAAATGTTTACTGCCAACCTAGATCTATTTGGAATATGCATGAGAGTTTATTTTTAAAAAAATTGTTAATTCAACATTCTATTGAGACAAATCCAATTCATAAAACTGGTTTCAATGATCTGTTTGTAAATCGAACGGTTGCAGTTAATGGGTTCACCTCATTTTATTTTAGCTTTATTTCAGTTACTGTAAATGATTCTTAATTTAGTTTGAATGAACCATAACAACATTGAATTAAGTTTTTATAAAGATGGAATTTAATTTACATTTTATAGATCAATTTTATTATTATTCAAACAAACTGTTCTTAATTGCAGTGCACTCTTCAGAATTTTGTGTTCCACAAAAGAAATCAGTCATACGGCTCACAGAGTGACACGAGGGTGAGTACATAATGACAGAATTCTCATTTTTGACTGAACTATCTCTTCAGCCTGCATTTAAAATATTTTTTAATGGCAGAACCACCCACAAATGACATTTTTCACTTGACATTTCATTAACAAAAAGAGTGCTCAGTTCAATTCAAAATGTCACTTTCTGTTGGTCATGAAAAGCTTGCAGTTGTTTGTGTTTTACAGAGAGCACGGCGCAACCTGATATCTGGTGCTACGTACCCAGTCTTGACGTCTGTTTCCTCTTGATCTCTGTAAGTTTGGGGATCGGATACGGTCCGTAGCACTGAGTAAATATCATGGCCAGCTGCTGACTAATCACTTCATTCTGCAAACCATGAGAAAGAGTAACAGGTAAGACACCTCTCATCAAGCCCCAATACAAAACAACACATTTTGACTTGCCTTGGGGGTGTTACAGCGCCTGAGTTGTGTGAAGGTTATGTGTATGTGTGAGCTTGCATAGCAAAACCACACCATATATTCTTGAGAAGTATCAATGCATGGTGTTTTTGGGATCAGTACTTTGTTAAATCCCTGTCAGATCGCTCCTTCTGCGGTTTGAACGATCAGCTTCTCTGAAAGATTGTTAGAGGTTCCTCATCAACTTGACGTTTCTCTCGCCCGGCCTGCCTCTGCCTCTACAAATCACCTGCTGTCAGCATAGCACCGCTATTTCCTCTCTCTCCTGCTCTCTCTCTGCCGTTCTTTCTCTTGGTCTCTCTCTCTCTTTGTACTAACAAGCAGACACGCATTACTTGTGAAGGTTGAGCAGGGAGCGGAAACTGTCAGTCATCCCTGCAGGGCTCAGAGTAAGGATCCTTGACTCCACCATAGATCAACCTTGACAAACACGCTCACACATACACCTACTGTAGCCCCAATAGAAGGAAATCCACGTTTATCTTTACTTCCTGTCTGATCTGCTATAGAGGGAGTAGGTATGGATGTGTGAAGCAGATGTAATGGTCAGTGTCTAAGGATTCTTTCTAGCACCCTAGGTTTCAAAGCAAAGCTCACTATTACATAATGCTGTGGGAGGACGTCAACAGAATGCCCAATTCAAATTATGCAAGTTTCTGCCTTCACTTCCTGTTCTACAGAAGCAATATGTTCCCCAGGGTTCTGGACTCTAAGGATTCTAAAAGAGGTGTAACCCTAGGAAATTACTTGATGGGTATGATCATGTATCTCAGGCAAGCTTAACTAGCAAGACCAAGATCAGAGGTTTAATTCCAGAGAAAGCATATGATGTCAGTTGTGGAAATTTGCACTCTGTGTTGGTGCGTATGAGTTTAGCATGTGTTTTTGTTCACCTTGCTGGCACGCAGGATCTGGAACATGAGTGGGAGGCCGTGTGTTATGAGTTCCTCTGTGTACTCCTCCTCTTCAATAGAGCTGAACTCTTTCAGCAGACCCTGGATCAGCGGCCGCCGGTGCTGCAGGAAACAGGTTCGCAGGGACTCCAGCCAGGTGTGCAGCGTCCAGGGCACCCCTGATATACACAAAGACACATGAAAAACACCGTTTTACTTTTTAACAAGTAGGAATGTTATGTAATCAGTGATGTATGTCGCCTTTAAGATTTTCACAATGGTATACACTACCATTCAAAAGTTTTGGGTCGGCAAGATTTTTTTAAATGTTTTTGAAAGAATCTCCTATCCTTACCAAGGCTTCATGTATTCAATCAAAAATACAGCAAATCAGAAATACTGTGAAACGTAATTATAATAAAAAGATTTTTGTATTTTAATATATTTTAAAAAGTAATTTATTTCTGTGATGGCAAAGCTGAATTTTCAGCAGGTATTACTCCAGTCTTCAGTGACACATGATCCTTCAAAAATCATTCTATAATGCTGATTTAGTGCACAAGGAACATTTCTTAGTATAACGGATGCTGGAAAAAGTTGTGCTGCTTAATATTTTTTGTTGAAGCCTTGACTGTTTGATGAATAGAAAGTTCAAAAACAGCATTTATGATGAACAGGAAATTTAAAAACATAATTTATTTGAAAGGAATTTATTTTAAATTTTATAATATTATATTTAATATATAATATTTTAAATATATAATTGTGGTCAATTTAATGCACCCTTGCTTAATAAAAGCATACATTTCTTAAAAAAAAAAATAATAATAATAAAAAGTAGATAGAAGAGAATAGATAGAGCTAGTGTTAGAGGTAGCAAGTAGATTTCTAGAACAGAAACAGGATAGAGAGTTCTAGTGTTTTAGAGGGTCAAGTGCAGATGTATATATAGCATACATAACAGTTCCATGCAAGTTTCTGTTTTATTGTATGCCATATCAAAATTTTCCACAGCATACCTCTATTCAACAAGCCATTCATTACATTAAGCTATACTTACAGTAAGTAACTTAGTGTTATGCAAATTCACTGTTATACGATTATTTTATTATTGTAGATTCAGTATCAGTACTGACCTAGACTTCTGATGTCCAATGTGATGTCGACATAGCTGTGTTCAGAGCTGTGATACATCGCCTCTCTCAGAGCTTTGAGTTTGGTCTTCCCCGTGCGGGTTGCTTCTATCTTCAGGGAATTCCTCTCTTCCATCTCTGATCCCTCAGCCAAGATCTCCTGTAGAGACAGAACATCTGCCTTCCCCTTTTCCGACTGCGACAGAAGCTTGCAGAACACGTTCCTGCAGCACGAGGATGAGGATGATACGATTTTGCAGTTTTATTAATAAATTACGAGACCGTGTGTGTGTATTTGACTAATGCATGTGTGTGTGTGTGTTACCTGTGTCCATGCGCTGCGGCCAGGCTGTAGGAGTTCATGTCCCCGTGTGGTGCGGTAGAGATGCCGTTGCGGTACATGGTCCCAACCATGGGGTCCGCTCCTCTCTCCAAAAGCAGACTGACCAGCTCAAAGTTCCCTACAGCACACAAACTGCTGAGTCCTCTCTTGTGGTCTCGCTGGTTTATAATTCAGTAATTCGAGAAGGAAGTGGCACTGTTGTCCGGTCTGCAGTGTGAGCTTTCTTACCTGCAGCGGCAGCTAACTGCAAAGGCGTCTCAGTGTAGTTCTCCATCCCGTCCTGCAGAGAGCCCTCCACATTAGCTCCAGCGTCCAGAAGCAACTGAGATAAAAGGAAGGAGAGAGAAGAGATTTGGTTTTCCATTATGGAGAACTCCAGCTGTAGTGAATAAGCTAATGAAAGCAATTCCTGCTAAGATTAATTCAAGGAATTAGAGACAATGACAATGAAATAAGCAAACACATAATGAATCATAATGGCTGTACGACTTCAAGATAAAATGAGAACCTCAATTCATGCAGACAAGGCTTTCAGGAGAAAACTGATGCATACGCTACAGGAATTTTAGTCTGACTCAGTTGTGTGGCTTAAAATCTTGCCGAAAGATCGGGCGGGAGAGAGAAGTCACTACCTGCACCACGGGGATGTGCTGTTGAAGTATGGCGAAGGTGAGAGGCGTGGCCTGCCGGGTCTCTGGGAAGACTGAGGGGTACTTTTGCACTGTGTTTGGCACCTACGTGAGGTACAGGGGACAGAGCAGGGCACAAATCAGAGAGATGGAGACCTTTAAAAACCTGTCCTGGGAAAAGTACAGAGACGCTGCGCTCAGCTGAAAATATGGAGATAGGAGAGGATCTTTGGCCTTTTTGCCTCTTTATAGGAGCTGCCTGTATAGTATATAAGTACACTTTTATTCAATATGAATGCTGAAAACTGTCATGAAAAGTGACAGTTTCCACAAAAATATTAAGCAGCATGAATATTTTTCTACACTGATAATAACCCCTCCCCCTCCAAAATATAGCCCTATTTTTAAGAAGTACACAATTTTTTTAATGAATACACTCTTAAAAATAAAGGTGCTTTAAAGGTTCTTCACAGCGATGCCATAGAAGAACCATTTTTGGTTCCACAAAGAAACATTCAGTCAAAGGTTCTTTAAAGAACCATCTCTTTCTTACCTTTTAATAATCTGAAGAACCTTCTTTCGCCACAAAAACTTCAGCTGTTAAAAGTTCTTTATGGAAACATTTAGACAAAAAAAGTTCTTCTATGGCATCGTGAAGCACCTTTATTTTAAGAGTGTAGTGTACAATTCCATCAAACTGAATTGAATAATTCTTATGTATTTTAATTGAACAATCCTTAATCAATTATCCAATTAATATACGTAAGGATTATTCTATTCAATTTAATGGAATGTTACTATTAATTAAATTGCGTAAATCTTAAAAATAGGCGTAAAATGTTTTTGAGTATAATAAGAAATGTTTCAAATTTCAGAAATATCGTAAAATTCTTTTAAAAGACCTACTAAAATACATTTTAATATTATTTTCAATCCATTCATTACAAAAAAATTAAAAATTACATTAGCTTTTCAATTCAACATATAACTAAAATTATTATGCTGATAATATCATTTGTGTGAATTAGTGTATATTAAATTATTTCAATCAAGTATTTTTATTTCTGTTATTTCTACTCTAATGTATGTTAACACCAGCACCAAATACTTTGCGTTTGGCAAACTGAAGGTTAACATAATAACAACACACTTCTGGGGTTTTAACCAGCAACCCTCAATAAAAAATGTTTATTAAATTATTATTTTAAATTTTATTTTATTATAAAAAAATTACCCTCCTACACTAGCCTACACTATTCTTTTGACTTGTTTTGTTTTTATTAAAAAAAAAAAGACCCTCTAACACTAGTGTTCCCTATTCTTTTTCTATTCTATCTACTTGCTTTCTTTTTCTTTATTATACCGAGACTTGTCACAGCACTTACATATTATTGTTTTGATTGCTTCTATATTGTCCTCATTTGTAAGGCGCTTTGGATAAAAGCAACTGCTAAATGACTAAATGTAAATGTAAAATATTTTTAAAATGATCAAATATGGACACCACTGTATATACATTTCTTTTTTTACATTTCCATTTCTACTCAAATTTATTTCTACATATTCTAAAGTGAAAAAAATTGACGGTTAACCTAATATGTTGCCTTATCGTCTGGCATATGTTTTGAATTCTGTTGTTGTTTGTTTGACGGAGGCAGAAAGTGTAAGGTTTTGTGAGAGAGAAAATAACACCTGATTCATAGCAAACGTCAATGAACTCTTCACATTTTTATGACACACAGTTGTAAACAATATTATTTCCCTGCTAAAAGTGACTGAAACTGTGACTTGCGGTGATATCTCTCTGAGACGTGTTTTTATCAAGCTGGAAATAGCGACAAATAGTGAGTGTGTATATTAGTGAGAAATCTGTCTTCGCTAGCTTCTAGGGCCGAGTTTGGCAGAACAGCACCTAGTGACAGTGACTTCCAACAAACACAGAGGAAAATCTACCCAGACAAGTCACTCATGGGCATGCAAAGCAGTCTGAGTTTTCTCCTGTCATACTACAACACATGAACACAAACACTACACATGAAACATGACGGGGAGGATGGGTGTACAGAATGTGTATATATGAACACAGCAGAGATGTAGTCACAAACCTCACTGTTGATGTCGGCTCCTGCGTCTAGCAGCATCTGAACCATGGCTTCGTCACCGCGAACACATGCGTACATCAGAGGGGTCATGCCCTGCAAAACACACAAAAGCATACACCAGACATATCCTCTGATTGTGGAGTAATGAGGGAATGCAACTTGACAATATGCAGCATTACATTTAAATATTTAAATAACACAAAATTCAAGCAGTCTTCTTGTGTTTATAGGAACCAATCTCCTGGAAAACCATAACGTTACTCAAATCAAGATATGGAAAATCAGATAACAAGTGAATTAGCTAAGAAACAAAGGTAATGGCAAATGTTTCCACTCCCCGAGGTCAATAACGGAGCAAAGCAATCAGTGATGGAAAGCGCACTGGTGTGTGCTCTGATTAATACGGTCAACCGTTAAACACTGTGAATCTTGAGGAAACCTGCTGTGCAAATCTGTTTGTTTCCTTCTGGGCTTCCATAAATGGAAAATATAGCAATGTGTGCAAGCATTTATAGTCAGCAGCAACCTATCAACTTGTGCATTAATCTGCATTTAGTTGTTTTTATCTATATAAAGTGACGTATAATACACTTTTGCACCTGGAGTTGCACCTGCATTTGTACTAGGACGGGACCTCAAGAACAAACCACTTCTAGGGGCTGAACCTGCAACTTTTAGGTTACAAGACCAGGCCAAAACCAGTGCAAAATGACTCACCACAGGTTTTCAAAGCCCAAGGAAACTATTTATTTATTTATTTTTTGAGAAAAAAGGGCTGTCAAAGTTAACATGTAAACTTTTTTTTGCGCATTCACATTCAAAATTGTATTCAATTCTGCTAGACAATTATATTAATTCAATTGAGATGAAATGTGATTATTTTATTCTATTTAAAGCACACATTTGTAAAAGAAAACAATTCTCAAATTGAATTAATCTCAGTAAAAGTACAAGTAAAAAAAATATTTGCTAAATATTATATATTATATATTAATATTAATAATAATCTTATTATAATAAAGATATATAATATTATGCTTACCATTGTTCTTGCACATTATAAATGTTTTATACATGAAAATTCGCAGCTTCCTTTTCCATTCAAAGCTTTAGTGTTGAGAAGATTTTTACATTTTTATTTAAACAAGCTGAATTAATTTGATTAAAAATATGCTAAAAACAGTAATATTGTGAAATATTATTACAGTTTAAATTAACTGTTTTCTATTTTAATATATGTTAAAATTGTTCTTTATTCCTGAGATAGCAAAGCAGAATTTTCAATTTAATATTTTGTGGAAACCCTAATCATTTTTTCCCTCAGAATATTTTGTTAAAAAGAGCAATATAAAGAAACAATATAAACATTTTCAATTTAAGGATACCTTGCTGAATATAAGTATTAATTTCTTTCTTTAAAAAAACTCTTACCGACCCCAAAATTTAATACGGAAGGGTATATTTCAGGAATGGGGTTCCCACGCAAAGGAATCATAATATTTGCAATTTTTTATCATTAAAAAAATGATAAAACCCCTACCTTAACATACTGTTAAATACAAAAATAATGGCAAGTTTTATATTTGTGTGCATGAACGTCTGTTTATGTAACAATCATTCGAACCTGTTCACTCATACTGTTGATTCCACCGGGTCCTAGTAAGTTGATGGCCTGGTTGACAAGGTCAGTACGGCCACAGTTGAGCATGCGGAAGCCCAGGTCCTGCAGGAACTTGGCCTCGGTAGAGGCAGCATCCAGCTTACGTGACACGCAGAAACAGTCATCAGTCCTGCGGCACACACACAAAAACATCTCTCTAATGTCTTAATCCTCTGCACAAAAAAAGCTTGAGTCACATATTCCAAGTGAAACACTCATCTATGGGTGAACCTTTCATTACAACACTTGGCCTAATAGCAATAAAACCGCAGTTATGGTGTGATTCATGCCTTATGTTGGGTCGACTGAGCTTGTTTTCCCTGTACAGACTGTTTATGAGCCAGTTTCATTTCACTCATGATGGGTAGCAATATCTGGTAGCTGGATGTTAATTTAATGGCAGCACGCTTACTTCAGCTGGCGGGGTTCACAATCCACCCCGGGCAGCAGGAGTCTGGCCGCCTGCCGAACATCATCGCTATCCACTGAAAAGCTGCGGCGGTGCTCCGCATGTGCCAAAGCTACTCTGATCCACTCCATCAGAGGAGGCAGTACGAGAAACGGCCTGCAGGAGGAGACAAAATGACTAGGTTATTTAACAAATACACATTATTTGTCTTTACTAATGATATTTTGGTATTATTATTGTATCAACTAATATGTTAAATGAGCTTTTATATTTTCAGTTTTCATTTTAATTTTAGTTTTATTTTTAGTCAGTTTGCTTTTGTGTTTTAAAAATTCATTAAAAAAATGTTTTTTTTCCAGTTTTAGTTGCATTTCAGCATGTTTTAGTTAGCTGCCAAAGCAACATTTCTAACTTTTGTTTAGTTTAAGTTTTTTTTTAATCTAATATTTATATTTGATTTATTTCAGCTTTATTTATATTAACAAAATATATACAATATTTTTTGTAGTATACTATTTGCATATAGCCTATATAAACTTTAATACAAAAATCTGGAATAATTATTTTTTTTGATATTAGAAGAAAGAATAAAGAAAAAGAGGTCTCTCACCAAGGCTTCATTTATTTGTTAAAAAAATACAGTAAAAATAATATTGTGAAATATTATTACAATTTTAAAGAACTATTTTTATAATGTAATTTATTCCTCTTGTTGCAAAGCTGAATTTTCAGCAGCTGTTGCTTCAATGTCACATGATCAATCAGATTATGTATATAGTACATATATAGTACATATATAGTACACTATAGTATAGTGTTTGTTTATATATATATATATATATATTTATATATATTATATATATTTAGAACTAAAACTCATTTTAGTTAGCTGCCAAGGCAACATTTAATTTTTGCTTATTGTAAGTTTTTCATTTAATATTTATTTTTGATAATATTAGTGTTATTTCAATTAACCTTTATGCACCAGGAGCTTGTAACACTCCAAAGAGAAAGGAAAAATTGAAATCGCATCATATGACCCCTTTAATAGTTTTAGTTAGCAATAACAACACTGATCTTTAAATTCTTCAATCTGTGAGAGAAAAAACTGGACTTAATCTCACAGCAACTGATTTAATATCAGCTCAACTAACAAAAGCCCTTTTCATGACCTTGGAAGATGAAAATGTTTTATTAGGTTTCTAAGCTAAATCTCATTAGCAGCTGAGCAACACAATGTAACCTGAGAATTTACACCAAACAAGATCAAAATTTAGCAGACAAATCAACCCATAAATGTTTACTCATTTAATATCTTTGAAAATGACAGTAACATAATTTTCCATCAAATACAGGAAGTGCTTCACCTACTCTTCATTTATTTATAACGTGGCTTCATTTCATTGCATTGCCTTTGCCTTGCAGTCTGTTGCACTGTATTTCACATTTACATGCCTCTGCATTTCATCATATTACAGTGTCAAGCTGAATAAACGACTACTTGGCTTAAGGTAAGTACCTTGAGCCACTGCATCAATCAGAAAGCTCCCTAGCAAAAATACCCAGCCACAGTGGAAGTCCCCTCACCTCTCCGTCTGTAAGGTGACTTTGGACGGCTCTACGTTGGGGTTCTCCCACTCCATCTGAGGGCAGTGCATGAAGTAGCAGAGCGTATATAAAGCCTCGGGCTCCCAGTGGATCAGGCTGCTCTTCTGAGGGAGCGGAGTGCCGTTGCTGTGGTTCTTTATGCTCAGAGGCTGGAGGTGATGCATGGCTCTGGACACTAAATCACCTGTCGGGGCACAAGAGACCTTTGGTTTGCTGGGAATGATGTAAACGGTGAAGGACAGTACTGTCGTCACATTGATGCTACAGCATAAAAAATTAGCAGCTCTGTCAATCTTTCTCTGCCAGTCAGCTGTTTGTAGGACCTCGGCAGCACATTTGTCAGAAATGAAATTCTTGGCCAGTCCATCAAACTGAATATTACACAAAACAGTTATGTAATTTTGCCATAGTACACCTGTCAGGATCACTCCAAATGACCCGGGTATATCGTTTGAATTTAAAAACTCAATAAGTGCCTATTTGCATATATATTATTTGAAAAAAAAAGTCAAATGTTCGGAGTAATTAAACGCTGCATTTATTTAATCTAAAACAGAGTAAAAACAGAAATATTGTGCATTGCAATAAAAAAAGCTGTTTTCTATTTTAATATATTTAAATATATAATAAATATATATTTCAGAAATATGCTGATTTGGTGCTCAATTACTGCCATATACAGCAACTGATTAAATATAAGCTCAGAAAAAAAAAAAAAAAAACGCCTAGGAAGAAGACTTTTTAAATTTGTTTTTTAAGCGAAATCTTACTAGCAGTTAAGCAACGCAATGCAGCCTGATAATATTTATATCGAACAAGTTCGAAATTTAGCAAATGAATCCACCAATAAATGTTTACTTATTTATTATCTTTTAAAATTATGCTAACATCATTTTCCATCAGATACATGATGTGCTTCATGTACATTTTTGCTATATATGTATACATTTATAAAGTATATATGTATACACATATTTTACTAAGCTGTACTATACTGATGAATACACACACTCACATACTGTAAATAGCCTATATAGTGTGTATACAGTTATTTGCACATTTCCATGAGATCAGATATATGATGTGCTACATGTACATTTTACATGTATTACATGTATACACATATAATTTATACCCAATATATATATATATATATATATATATATATATATACAGTATATATATATAATGGGTATAAATTATATGTATATACATATGTATATGTATAGCTGTAGTATACTGTTATACACACACACACACACACACACACACACATACACATATACAGCCTATATAGTGTGTGTATAAAGTTATGTGCACGTTTGCATGAGATGTTTTGTAAAGAGCAGACAATCTGATGGATTGTGTTGAACACCAAAAATGCAAAATGTCACAAACCTCTTTTCAAACAAGGTCACACAAAGCTCTACATTCATTACACAGAACATTAAACACTCTTCCTCTCGCTCTAATGACTATTGCCTTTCATATGTGAAACTTCCAGGTCATCTACGGTCTCATTTAGTCCAAGAGACCTAATTCTTCTGAATGCATTCAACTGAACCACACTGTGTTCAGTACAGTCAATAACACACTCTGAAAGGAACACTGAGAAACAGCCTCATCTATTGCTCTGCAACTTAAATGACTGCAGCACTCACACTCATTCTCTCTAGAACATTTCACATCTCTGTTACTCTAATGAATTAACAAGGCCGCCTGTGCGAGATGAGCATTCATTTAGAGAAATAAACGACTTGCTTAACTGTTGTAATTTCTCTGCCAAGGCTGCAGATTTAAAGGAATAGCCAAACTGATCTCACAAGAAAACATAACTATTTTACAAGGTGGCGATTTCGTATGAATTCATACGAAAATGTGCGTCTTTTAGAAAAAAGCATGAAGGTTCACCTCTAATCCAACCTATAAACATAACTGCAGTCACTGGGGCATGAGTGGGTCACACGAAACATACAACTGCACGAATTCAAATTAATTAGCAATACCAATTCGCCAAAATGCGAATTGCATCGAAGTGCGGACCAATGTTTTATTGGATCCCATTGACTTTAATTGTGTGGACAAAAACAGCTGACTTCTGGATTTGGAACAACATGAGCGTGAGTACATAAAGACAGAATAAAGCAAGAATGCAGGCATTGTAAAGAGGGAATACTGATGAGTTTGAGCGGAAGCTATGTGGACTTTCTGACAGCGGAGGCCAAAGATATGCACTGTAATTACACACAATAATTACAGGATTATGCGGAATACATTATCAGCAGCCGTGGCAGCTACACGCACGAAACAATAAAGCGCAAGAATACACCTGTCAGCAGAGAAACACACGACGTTTGCAGTCGGAGGTGGTGGCAGGAGGCTCTCGAGAGGAGGAGAGGGGCTGGAAGCCACCTGGGGCACTTCTGTGACCGACACTCATCTCTTATTCATGATAGCGTGTGACATTTCCTCAAGTCAGAGGGGCAGCAGAGGAACTGACTGAGAGATATGCTCAAGATTAACTAGCTAAACAAACACGGCCACGGTAAAAGGTCTTCGTCTATTAGTCATGACTGTAAACCTCATTACCAAGAGAGCCAATCATCTACAGGTACTGTAGGGTATTCGTATGAATACGTATGGCAATGTGAGATAACAACACAGCAGAAGATCTTCTTTTTGCTTGAGCGTCTTGGATTAAATATGATACTCTCATCCGTAACAGCAGAGAAGGTGCCCTTCATCACCAGACTGAAAACGAGACGTTGGGAATGGAGGGTGCAGAATGGTGTTTTACTGTGAAAACTGAGCAGAATCGATTGGCTGTCCTCCCTGAACCACGACATAAATTATCAAGGAAAGGCCACGAGAGAGGAAGGTGCTCTGCTTGGCTTTATGTAACAGAACAGATTTTTTTGTCTTTAGAAACGTCAGACTGGGATTCGTTGGATTAACTGTAGTTGTTTTATTTAAAATGTCTGAAAAATTGCACGTCATGGGTATAACATCAAAAACTGTATCTCAAATTCAAGATAGCCTAGATAGATTGATTTTGGGATACATTTTCCAGACATTTTAAATAAAACAACAACTATAATTTAATTTTACAAAAATTTAATATATATTAAAATGTAAAATTTTATATATATATATATATATATATATATATA